CTATCTATCTATCTATCTATCTATCTATCTATCTATCTATCTATCTATCTATCTATCTATCTATCTATCTATCTATCTATCTATCTATCTATCTATTTTTATTTTTTGGATTTGTGTAGACAGAGAAAAATGGAAATAGGTTGAAAACTGAATCAACAAGACTGACAGAATTTTACACAGCAAAAGATTTGCTGTTTTATTCAACAAAACATAAAAAAATGATAAAAAAAAAAAGCTCAAACTATTCAGTTAAACAGCTGTATGTTGATTCATCTTGTATAGGTCATAAAAAAGAGAAGACTTTTTTTGTTTTCATACACTAATAACTATTATATTGTTAAATTAACACAAATATGCCATTTTTGAAGTTTTATAAAAATCGTTTTTGTGCTGAATCAAATTGTGTAATTTAAGCTGAAATCAATAATAGTTATTTTAATAACTGTTATTATAGCCTCAAATTGCATAGTTTTACATTTTTTCCTCCCTGCCTTTATGCACCTCAGCAGGGACATTCTGTACATATTTCTTAACGTAGTTTGACAAATCTACATGAATGACAGTCCTAAAACTAAGACTTTATGCTCAAATAGCATGAACATTTGAAATTGGAGTATGTCGCCTTCGTTTACTCCTTTTGAAGCCTTTGAGTCTTTTTATTTTTCCCAATGACCTGCCTTTTCCTTCCCAGTTGAGCCTCTGCGTATTGTCTTGCAGCCTCCCCAATTCTCTCAGCATGACACTTCCAAGTCCATCAACCATGTAATTGTGAGCAGTTGTTAGAGTCAGAACTTTATACATGATTACACATCATCTTCCACTTATCAGTTTGAATATTAAGTCTGGTCCAAATTGCAGCGTGGTAGTCTGCTTCAGGTCGCCCACCACTGAACCTTTGATTGATCTGTGCGTTTGCGTGAGAGGACAGAAGTTACCCGAGCAGGCCTGTCTAGTTCGAGACTGAATCCCTTGTTCCCTGTTTCCCGTCCTCTGCCCCCCGCCTACATATGCTTCTTTCACCCTGACAGGGCGTCCCTGTGGAGCTCCTGTGTGGTTCTTCCTCTGTTAGCGCTGACCTGGATGTCAGCAGTGCTCGCCATCACTGATCGGCGCTCCACGCTTTTTCAGGTGACACACATCACAACATCGGCACGTTAATGGGCTTTAAGTCACACACACACACACACACACACACACACACACACACACACA